ACAACAGGTGGTTCTAAAGTAAACCCTAGCTCTTTTGGTTCTTAAATAAACCCCATTCTTGTTCCTAATGAATGGAAAGTCTATTTATAAAAATAGGAATAAGAGGTGCGATCGCCTAGCAACACATGTCTTCTTGTTTAGCGCTAAAAATCGGATATATAGACAAAACACACACACATACACAAAGTGGAGCTGAAAACTCTCTATCTCAATTTTGATTCACCATTACGAAAGCGTTTTCTCCGTTCTATCTCGAGGAAACGACTAACTATTGAAACCTCAGCGCTTGATGCGCTTATGGTCTTGTCAATTCAAACGCCGTTAGTCAGTTAATCATGCGGGTTAAAAAGCCCAAACTTGAATACAAATTAGTTCATCTCTACAGCTAGACCCAAGGGAGCACCTTGACTTATTATTGTAAAAACAGAAACAATTAATAGCTTAACAAGGATCAATTTAAACACGCGACAAATAAATTGACAAGACACGAGATACAGTTTTAAAAACTTTATTGAAAACCAGTGACAAGAGTCAAATAAACAGCGATTTGAAAGGGATGGAAGTCAGTCCTCTTCTTCGTTCTCCTGTTTAGAAGTGGGATAAAAATAGGTTTCCAACGTCTTGGCGTTTTTGTGTGTAATTGCTCCACAATCGGGACACCGAAGAAAGCCCTCTTTGATGTAATTTCTCTTCTCGGGGATCTGGTGATCGCATATAGGACAAATCGAGTAGTTATCGTGCCAAAAGCATTTAGGACATTTCATGATCAATGTCGAGTACACATTAGAGTTTTCGCAATGTTCACATGGACTTTTAGAGTGAAAGGTGGTGGACGTCTCAGGGCTACTACTTTCTGTTTCCTGACTGTCGTTTTCAGTGTCGTTGTCGCTCTCCTGGGTGCCCTCAGCTTCAACGCCATTCTCAGAAGCCAGTTCCTCCTCCTCTTCCTGATTTTCAATATCCGATGAACTCTCCTCGTTATTACTCTCGTTATCGGACGTATTTTTACATTTTGGTAGCCTTTTTCTTTTTCTATTAAATCAATTAACAACCTTTTGTTCTTGATTAAACCTTTATCGATTCCTAACTCTGCAAGTCCATCTAGGAAAGTATTCAGCGCACGAGGTTTGCTTACGTCATCGTTATAAGGTAGTACCACATACTCAAGTAGCTCGGCGATGTTTGCGACGGGAATTATACGTTTATTTCGAAGTAATTGTCCGCGGGGAGTCCAGAATAAAAGATCTTTGGAAGCGGCCATACTATGCAGCAATTCAGGAGCACGCTTTACCGAAACCGCTCGGGGAAGATGACTCAAAACATCTTTTATTATTGGTTCTTCATCCTCGCTTTCATCACCAGAACTTTCGCTTTCTTCATGTTCACTCTCGTGTTCTTCTTCAACGAAATCTATCTTTCTCTTCATTTTGATGAGTACCCGTGACAGACCATAGCTTCAAATGAGTAACTTATAGTTTCGTTTCCTCTTTTATAGCATCAAAAATCCTAGACTTGTAACAGCAGATACCAATAGGTCTTGAATAAAACCATCACCCTCTTTTACAAGGATTCGCTTCTTTGTTTTTTAAGGGACATTTGTTTCTGCTAGGTTTACTAGAGCATCCTTATATGGCAACACGTTCCGCTTATTTTCTTCGGGGATAAGAATGTGTTCCTTAAGTAAATTGTAACCGCGTATAAGTATATTTTTGTTATAAGTATATTTAAGTATATTTAACCGCGGCAGGATTAGCTCAGTCGGTAGAGCGCTTGACTGCAGAGCGGGAGGTCGCGGGTTCGATTCCCGGGGCCGGACCAATACTTAGGGTCTTAAAATAACTGAGAAATGAAGGTACTTCCTTTGCCCTGCGGGCGGCTGGACCTTCGCGTGGCTCGGATGACCACGTAAAATGGCGGTCCCGTCTCGATTAGGAGACGTTAAAATGAGGGCCACAAGTTTATTAGCCTTTGGCTATTAAGTACTACCCTCTTTAAATAAATAAAGGCTTTATTGTATAAGACTTGGACTAATGCATGTAGTTGTTGTGAACTGGCTGTCTGTAAAAGAAACTGTCGCTGATGAGCTGGACAAACAGCTAAGAGTTGAAGAAAACCACGATTGTTCCTGACAACTTGAGACATTGCGACAAACTGAACTTATGATTGTAGTTTGCAGTCTTTTATCGACTGTCGTGGAGAAAAACAATGGAAATGTGGTGGCGGTGGTGGTGGTGAGGGAAAACAATAGAAATGTGGTGGCGGTGGTGGAGGGAAAACAATAGAAATCTGGTGGTGGCGGTGGTGAAGTAACACAATAGGAAAGTGGTGGTGGTGGAGGAAAACTATTGAATTTTATAGCCTTCAAAACTATATCAGTGCGCATTATGCTAGCATTTTCTCAGTCTACATTCTGCTCCTGAGGAGCTGACATGAGTTGGTTCTGTTCCGTTTGCGAAAAATCATTTAGTAGAAAGGACAGCATGCAAAGGCATGCGATGTCTAAACACCACAATGTTGGTCTCACACCATTTCAAACAGTTCCGTTTTTACAGAAATGTCAGCGGTTTCGATTCGAGCATCCTTTTACCTCAATGATTGCCGTAATGACTGGCTCAGGAAAAACGGCCTGGGTTCGATCTCTATTGCAACAAGCTTCAGAGACAATTTAACCTCCCCCGGAGAGGATTGTTTGGTGTTATTCACAATGGCAGCCTGCGTATACAGAAATGCTAGTCACCATGCCACACATTGAATTCGTCACGGGAATTCCCACGGCTTTGGAGCAGGATTCCTATTTTGATGTGAACAAACGGAATTTGATCGTGTTTGATGATCAAATGATTGACGCCAGTAAAGACAAGCGAATTGTGAACCTCTTTACTCGTGGTTCTCATCATCACAATCTAAGCGTGATTTATATCGTGCAGAATCTATTTCATCAGGGGAAAGGTAGTCGCAGCATAAGCCTAAACAGCCATTATTTGGCGTTATTCAAGAACCCTGAAGACAAATTGCAAATCTTGATTCTTGCCAAGCAAATGTATCCCGGGCAAACTGATTTCTTTTTAAATCAGTACGAGGAGGCTGTAAAAAGACCTTTTGGTTATCTGCTGATTGATCTGAAAACTACTACCCAAGATAATTGTCGACTGCGAACAACCGTCCTGCCCAGTGACCAATTAGGGTTTCAAGAAAATATTCCTCAAGAGCTTTTAAAATATCTAAAGCAGCAAAATCTTTCGCCTGTCCCACTTCTTCCAGCTATGCAAGAAATACAGGGCAACATGGATGACTTGCTTTCTCGAAACGATCTTCGGGACGATGAAAAAGCTAAGAGATACTTTCAGTTGCAAAACAGATACCTGGCTTTTAAAGAACAATTAAATACAAGAACACAGTAGAAACCCAATCACAAGACCCGAAGTGCAAAAGGCGTCGGATTCAATTTGTAAATTATTTGGATGATCATAATGCTCATGGCAAACAGAGGAAACGAACTCGGCATAAGAAATTTCGAGTTAGACCTTAAACGTACTCCATGGGCGAAGAAGATGATTAATTTCCATCCCTTCCAAATAGCTGTGTGTTCGACTCTTTTTGTCACTGGTTTTCAATAAAGTTTTTAAAACTGTATCTCGTGTCTTGTCAATTTATTTGTCGCGTGTTTAAATTGATCCTTGTTAAGTTATTAATTGTTTGTGTTCTTACAATAATAAGTCAAGGCGCTCCCTTGGGTCTAGCCGTAGAGATGAACTAATTTGTATTCAAGTTTGGGCTTTTTAACCCGCATGATTAACTGACTAACGGCGCTTGAATTGACAAGACCATAAGCGCATCAAGCGCTGAGATTTCAATAGTTAGTCGTTTCCTCGAGATAGAACGGAGAAAACGCTTTCGTAATGGTGAATCAAAATTGAAATAGAGAGTTTTCAGCTCCACTCTGTGTATATGTGTGTGTTTTCTGTCTATATATCCGATTTTTAGCGCTAAACAAGGAGACATGTGTTGCTAGGCGATCGCACCTCTTATTCCTATTNTCAAAATTTGCCCGCTTTTATTTTGAACACATAACAGTTTCTACAATATCCAATCAGAAGACTATAGCAAACAATATCTAATCAGAAGACTGTAGCAAATAGCTAATTATATAAAAATCACTTTTCTGTTTTTAGATTATGGTCTCAACATTTTTTGATGACGTCAACTCTAGGAAATTCTGACGTCACTTGTTCCTTGCCAGCTACAAGTAAACTATGACATCACCCTATCTATATGACATGCATGACGACAGCCCGCTTAAAATAAACTATGACATCACTCTATCTTAATTCTTTGGAACATGCGTGCGACTCCTGGTGCATGCATTAAACTGGGCTGTTTAGCTTGGCGACTGTTGTGCCACAAAGTAAATGTACTGAGTTGTGTAGCTTTGCCTTAGTTCCACAAAGTAAATCTACCAAGTTGTGTAGCTTGGCGGCCGCTGTTCCACAAAGTAAATCTACCCAGATGTGAAGTTCGGGGGCGCCATTTCATCATGACTTGTGATATTTTCGGCACCGGACAAACGAACATTTTAGCTCTATGTTCTTAATTCGGAAAAATGTGACCAGCCCACAGTAGCGCCACTCAAGTCACTGAAATCAATACACTCGAAAAAAATGTGGTCCGACTAGGGTCGATCGTTAAAATCATCACAAGTTAAGAAGACTTGACAGCTAGTAACGGTTTCATTTCATAGTAAATTTCAGTATTGTCTGCATGTGGGATTCCCAGTAAATAGAATTAAAGACTACATCGAAATTTGAATTCCGATGTGAAAGCTTCATTTTGTCAAAAAGTTGATGATTGGATGCTCTTGAAAATAGCAGAGAGTTTTTTGAACTAAAGAAAAAGAAACCTGGGTAAAGCGCTAATCGGCCTTCGAACAACTGCGCCCTGCAGAACATCTATTACACCAATCAAAACAACACGTCATTTCTACACGCCCGACGCACTCTGGCCAGTGTCTCCTCAAATTACAACCACTTGAGACGAACCATACGATATCACTTTGATCACTAGCCGTCAAAACCTTTTCATAATGATACACAGTTTAAATAGAAGTTTCGCTGTACGCAACCCTAAGTTCAAAATATGCTATAATAATCCCCGGAGTAGTCAATCGATAAAAATCGGTATAGATTTATCAATCGATAAATCGATAAAAATCAGTAAATCTGATTTGATTGGCATCGATTGTATCGACCAATCGGTAGAAATCGATGACACACTTGTTTCGTTTATCGATTTATCTTGATTTTACCGATTCCACCGATTTTTATCGGAAGATACATCTGTTCTTCTGTTCATCCAAAAATGAAAACTGATTTCATGAAAACAGTGAATTTTTTGACAACTGAGCCGCAATTGACAGTCAAGGGGTCAAACAATTTACTATCACTTTGTTTTAAAAAAGTAAAAACAAATATTATCTTTTCCTCAAAACCCGCTTTAAATTAAATAAAGTCTTCTTCGGATGACCGATATTGGTCAGGTTTGCTAGGTTGGCCAGGTTTTATATTTTTCTCAGTTTTTCAAGATTTAGATCTGCCGCCCTTTCAAAAAAGTTCCGCGGGTAGTTACTTCCCGCAGTAGCCAATAGACAAAAATCGAAATCGATAAAGTCCTTAGCGATAAAGTGGTTTTTTCGATTGATAACGGAAAACGGTGAAAAGCTATCCAGAGAAATCTTTTAGTCTGAATTTCGGGCATTCCTTTGACTCTAGAGGATGTCTGAAATTCAGGTTGGGAAATCTTTTATCTAAGGTTGTAT